GTCTCCGTTTATGGGGACAATGGACTGGAAGACATGTCACTCAAATTAATAAATTCCAGGACAAACAAGGTACTGATACTAATTTTCAGAGCAGTGAATCATAGTCTACAGGCATTAAATTAATTTCCTTTTAGAGTCACTATGAAAGCTGCGTAACTAAAGTCAGGATAAATCACTGACAGCCAAGAAGAAACTGTGCAACAAGTTACTCAATATTGTCTGAATCTGGAATGCAACAAAAGCATTTATCAAAGAACACTGGCAACTTTCTGTCCAAAAGCCATTTTTAACCCAAGTTACCACAAAAAAGGAAATTAAAATCAAACCCCAAAACTTCTCAAGAAATTTTGCTTCTGCGCATGCGCTCTCAAATTGGAAGGGGGGAAAAAACAACCCCAAACCTGCCAGAGACCACATGGAGTTTACCTGAAACTTCACTATGTATGTATGAATACCACTTTATGTTAGCTGCTCAGATGCTACAGTGAGGGGTGAAAATAAACCTTTATAGAGATGCTCTTAAGAGTAACAACTGCAGTCATCATTAAAACATGTCATATATGCCTCTGTAAAAGCAAAATGAAATCAAGCCTGAAGCTGTTTTTTGGAGGGGTACTTAATGTGCTTAAAAACAGAATTGAACTTCAGCTTATGGGTCTTTCCATACCTACTTTTATCCTTAGGTCCTAGAGCAATAGGCTTTTTTGCTTTGTGGAGATTAAAACAAAACAAGTAAAACTACCAATCGCCCTACCACCTACCTTCTACCTACAACAGCCTGAGAATTCTTACATGAAATTCTTTGCAAAAGGTATCCTGAACTTTTCCGCAAATTTCTGTCTCTACAGAATGTTGTGCTTCCTTCTCATTCCAGTTTTTCTGTGGACCCTTCCTACCTGAAAAGATACTCAAACCAAATCTAGTTGTGTTGTTTATTCACTAAGGCAGCTGAATATTCTACTGTGAAAGTACCTCTGTAATAATAGGTAAATGTTTATTAAAAATAAAGTTATAGTTCTTGCAGTGCTCCAGTGTTGAAAAGCAAGTTTTGTTCACAGAAGCAGCAGTTCTTAAATAGTAGTCAAAGACTGAAAACTAGTATCAGTTTTAGAAGAAATCTGCTCCTGAGGTGGAGGTCAAAACCCATTGCTACTACAGCCAGTATGGTATGTCACTGAATCTCAGTATTTTAGCCAGCAGCATTAAATTTCCAGGACAGGGCACTAACCACAAAGCTAGATTTAAGAAAAACAAAACAAAACCCCAACCCCATGCACCAGAGTCCTCGCTTCTCCCATGAAATGTTTCAGTGTCCACATTAATGCTTTTGTTACGGCAGATGATACAGCCATCTCTGTACTGATGAAGGTGCCAAAGGAGCAGATGATGCACTCATACTGGTCAACACCAGAGGAAGGCATCTTCATAAATACTAGACAGAAGGAACAGGAGTCACGCTCTTGGAAAAAAGAGAATGGAAATCTACTTCTGAGGGAAGTAGAGCAAGTGGCCTACTTAAAGTGAGTACTTTCACCTCTTCCGCTGTTCTGTGGCCACATTTTAGAAGCAGAAATAGCTCTACTTGCTTCTGTGAAAGGTTTCTGAGCAGATCAAGAGAGTAGACAGCTACCACTGGCTTGACTGCTCTATTTTCACAGCCAGTTTAAGGGATTGATTTAGAAAACTGTTGTGACATTTCAGCCGACTCAGGTCATCACACAGGAGGAAGCAGCCAGAAATAGCAGGCCACATCTTCCCCTGGAAGTTTGCATTTTCTTTGTATTAAGCTTGATGGCAGAATTCTGGCGTAAGTCAGCCTTGGGGATGCAGAAAATTCAGAATCATGCCCAAGTCTGAAGTTCTTTCTTATGTGCCCTAAACTGGTCACAAGCACGGTGGCCATTTAAAAAGCAGTCAAAGCACCTAGCGCTGTCCTTTTTCAACAACATGAAATTGTTGAAAGCATGTTGTCAAGCACTGTACTTGAATGGAATTCAAGTTATTCTTACCACCTGACTGACGTTTGGAAGCTGCTTTTGTGGTCCCCTACCTCTGTCCAGTGATTATGTGAGGAGGAGTTCCAGATCCTAGATGCACACAAGAGCACCAGAGGGCAAAGTCAATGCCTAAATAGACAAGTTTCTTTGGAACCTTACAGATATCGCTTGCACACAACCATCTAGGCATGACTCTAGTCAACCATCTAAGTAAACTCTTCAGCAACACCTCTGCTATTAAGTCGGCCAGAAAGCAAAGATACCTTTAACACTTGATGGCTGATCTCTTTGAAAAAAGCAATCTTTTTTCATGACTCAGTGAGGTACCTTTTGGGTTTTTTTGAGACTGTGCTCACTTCTTTGTGTATAGCAAGAAGCTTTTGAATGAGAAAAATAAGTTAGACCTCACGGACTTACCCCCCAAACCAGATCATCCAGTATAGATTTTAGTGACTTCAAAAATGAAAAGTTTTTTGCTTTTGTTTCTAAATGCAGATTCACATTATTTAGCTGGAAAAGTTCTCATCCAAGTCCCACTACTGAAGCAGTAATTGAAAAAAGGTCTGAATTTTTAGGGAGAACATTCCCTAGAAATCTAGTTTGAAAGAGTGCAATTTTGCCATCATTCTTAAATTTATTTACAAGTTTAAATGTTTTATATACCTCAATTTACATGGTAGGGACCTTGGTATTACATTTTATAACAATTTACAGTGAATAAAAAGAAAAACAATATGCATAATTAAAACTAACCTTTATTACTCCAAAAACAGATGCCAAATATGTCATATATTTCTGTTTCTGCTGGCATATTTCTAAAATACATGTATAAATGTAACTAGTCAGCCTAGACATTTGGTATACTGTTTTGTAACATTCGGAAGTTCTCCCACACTGCACTGGGATGTCACTATAGTAAGCTGACAAAAGTAGGCAAATAGAAAGTTATCCTGGTTTTGAAAGAAAAAAAAATGCATGTGCTTTTACTAAAAAACTAGGTTATAATCAAGCATTACACTCAGAAAATTCTAAAATGCTATGTTACTTGTAGTTTTAAGTGTAGCTACCAATTTCCATTCACATTTATTGGCACCAGCCCAACTATTTTTATGTCCAAATATGGTAACCTTCAACATTAATATGCTAATAAAGGCCCTCTCCGCAACAGAATTTTATAGTCCCAAGAGTCTACAATTAATTGTGCAGAAAGATTATAATCAAGATGTGTTATTCCCAAAAAAACAGTTCATGAGATGAGCACAATATTGGCATGTAATTGCTAGCAATCACTTCCACTCGATTGGAAACTGCTTTTGGTATTATCTTAGAATTTCCAGAGGTTTCTGTAAGGCTTGAAAGAAATGGTTTTATTTCCCTACTTCTACTATAGAACAGAACTGGGAATGTTATTTGAAACAACACATGCTTCAAACATTTTTTGAGCTACTCTTTAGCAAGCAATATTGCCCTCAGAAGAAATTACCTGTTGGATTATCAAACGCCCATACATAGTATTAGTAGAAACTAGTTCTGTAGAATCTCCAGCAGTGTAAAAAGCACTGTCAAAGCACTGTTATCCACCTACTGCAGTAATTAAAAAAAAAAAAAAAAAGTAAGAATCTTGTCAGCAGCACATCAGAGGTCACGGGTATCTCTTATCTCTCCCACGGTTCTGCCCAAAACATGGTCCAAAGAGGCTTAGACATGGTTAGCCTGTTGTTTTTGCATTAAAATTTCTCTCCCAGCCATATATGTATGTATTTTAACCCCAGGAGCACTGAAAACACTAAAGTTTTTGTCTAACATGGAGCTCCCACAACTCCCTTTAACAGAGATGCACTGTGTAGCCACTTCATTCTTAAGAGATGTTTTTATGCTTCTAAATAAGTCTTCTTTAAAGGCCTCAAACAGAGTATGAGCCTTAGTTAGACTACGTACTACTGTTTTACAAATCAATCTGTCACTATCTATAATTGTGGGGTATCACTTCAAACGCGCATGTAGCAGCATGACCCAGAAAGCTATACCGAAACACACCAGTATACCTGCATGTTTTTCTTCTCAGCTTCAAGGCATTTGACTGAACCAAAATGCTGAATTCAACCCTGGTATTTATCCTTCTGAATAACTTCTTGTGGGAAGAGTATAGGGAGCAGAGGATGAGGAACTTGCTTTATTCTGTGTGTCTTATTCTGATGAGACACAACAAACAGATGAGTAACAGAAGCTCACAAGAGACAGAATAATCTTAAAAGTGTCACTAATGCCATACACACATCAGGAAGGGAAGAAAAGGCTATGCTGCATAAGACTACTGCACTGCTAGATGTACATTCTTCAGTTATCAGTTACTGTATCCCAGAAGTTATCATCTTACTTCTAGCTTTTTTCCCTCTAGAACAATTTGGATTTCTTTGGCATCCAAAGTCTCATATTTCAATAAAGCTTCTGCTAAATTCTTGTGTTCTTTTGCATGAGTCTTCAGGATGTTCTTTGCTCGCTCATATGAGTCCTAATATTAAAAAAAGGTGGAAGGAGATTTTAAGACTGCAGAACAAAAACAACAAGCAAGATTCCACTTTAAAAATTGTTTCCAGTTAAATACAGCTTGAAACAAATATTTTATGTTTTGCCTTACATTTCATAGGTAGCACAGCTCCTGTCTTATGAAGATTTAAAGTCTAGCTGGCATAATTAATCAAAAAAAAACCCACAAATAACCCCAACTTTATGCCACCTTTACATTTTGCAGAAGTAGGACTAAAAATAAAATCCTGAAACAAATCTTAGTATTTTTACATATGACTTAGAAAAGACTTACTAGATTTGAAAATTTGTTGATTAAATGAAATATTTGTTTTACATTATGAGCAGTGCTACAGCATTCAAGGAATGTTCCTCAAAGACTAAAGTTTTTAAAACCTTATAAACCTCTTGACATATTAAGTACTTTTAGAAAGCTGAGAGCTACTCAACAAGTTACCAGTAGCAAGTAGATGCACATTGCCAGCATTACTAGCTTCAACTTTAACTTTTTGCTCTACATAGACAGTTCTTATATGACCAAGTCAATTCAAAATGAGCTAGAGCAAAAAAAGAGTTAATCGTTTAAATGTTATAAATAATTCTCCTGCCTCTACCAAACAAATTCAGATTACTAGAACAGCAATCTGGAAGTTCTGTGATTATCGAATGTTACAAGTTTCCCTAGGCATCTGACAGCGATCACTGTGAGGAACGGGATACTGGAAAAGGCAACTCTCTGATCTGATATGGCCATTCTTGTGATTCTATACAAAACGATTTAGCTGCAAGTTATGAAATGTGGGAGTAACACAAAACATTCACACCTGTTCTAAAACAATTTTTAGCCATACTTTTTTCTCCTATTAATTGAATAGGCAAAATACAAATCCTGGCCAAATGTGAGAGAAAGTGTTAAAGCGTTAAAGAACCCAACACCACCAACTTGTTTCTCACTACTTGTGCATGACAATCACCAAAAAGTTTTGATACTCCGAGATTTGAAGTTGCACCTACATTAAATACGTGGGAATATTTCCACCCACCTGTGTATTTTCACCAATATACATTACCAAACTGAACAAGTCAAGTAAGCTGATGCTCAACTCTTCTCAAAGTAAATGTATCCGAGCAGAGAGGGAAGAGAATCTTACCCGTAGAAGTGTTCTTACTTCTTGTTCAATTGCAGACTGAGTTTCAGGGCTAACCTTCCCTGTATCAGTATAGGTCATAACACCAAGCTAAACAACAACAACAAAAATCTTTATCTTGCCACTGTTGCAGTAATACCCATAAAACACTGCAAGAGCTTCACCACCTATTGCTTCTATGTGCCAACAATCATTAAATGCTTGCTGAAGTGCTTGCAAGAGAAGCAAAACAAGGAGCCTATTCATCAACTATGTAGTCACTGCAGAGTTCTATTTCAAAAGGTCACATACAAATCCTGATTTCCTTATTTAAAAAAACAAAACAAAATCCCCAGACTACTATCACTTGATAGGTAATAAAGATGACTAAAGAACTTTCTTTACAAGTCTTGAAAACTCAGTGTTGTTGCCTGCCCTGCCCCCAAACCCAAGATTATCCTCAATTCCAAAATGTTAGGTTTTATACTAAACATTTTCTGCAGACATAGTAACTTTCAAGGTAATTTTGAAGTGAAGATCTTGCAAGTTAACTTTTAAACTGTCATATATACAGGTTTTCTAGTTGAGTTCTCTATAGCAGGGCCAGTCATAACACTTACTTTCTTTTTTGCCAGAAACACTTAAGTCTCTGTGATCACTGAAAGCCAAATAGGCATTTAGTTACAGAACAGAACATTTCTTTGTACCACATAAGTGTTTAAGGATCTATGACACTACCTTTTCGCTCATTCCAAATCTAGTCACCATCAGTTTTGCAATTTTAGTAGCATTGTCAAAATCACTGGAAGCACCTAGATAGCAAACAGATGTAAATTAGTTATTGAAACCAAGTTAAATATGCCAGTCCACAAGCTTTGATCAAAAATTATTTTAACTACCAGTCAGCTGACCTGTTGTGATGTGATCACTTCCAAATATCAGCTCTTCTGCTACTCGTCCTCCCATACAGACATCCATCTGTGCAAGCAACTGGGATCTAGTTTCACTCCATCTGTCATTTTCTGGGAGCAAAGATACCTGTAAGATACAGAACTGTGGTCAGGTAACAATAAACGGAAGAAATACTGAAATAATCTGAAAAATATTCTTGTTTACATCCAAAGCAGATATAAAGGCTTTTATACAACAGTTTGAATGCTCTGGGCCTCCTCCTAGTCTACGCACTCATCAGGTTTGCTTGCAGGGGCTTAGTCTCACAGCTAAAATAGCCTCGCACAGGCCACGAGCACCACATAAAGTGAAGCATCTTAAACCTCCCACCAAAGAAACAGAACAGTCTATTCTATCCATTTCTCCTTATTCCCTACACTTGTACTAAGCACAGATCAACTTGCCCGGAAGACTCAGACCAATGATTTTCCTTAACTGAACTCATTGACTTTGATAAAGTTCAACAGAAACAGACATAATACAAATATCTTTCTGTTCACATGCTTAGCAGCTAAAGGTAGAATAGAAAAACTTTGGGGTATCTATGCTAGAAACAAGGTAGGTGAACGATTAGGTTTAGAAAAAGTCACACTGGACAAGAAACAACTTGATAAAGGATGTTTGTGTTAGCAGTACAGTTGAGCAATGCTTCTACTTTCCAGTCCTTTAGACATTCTTCATAGTTCCACTGTTAGGCCCTATTTAACTGCAGCAGAATCAAACTTATGTACATTTCTTTCCTTGTATATGTGAACTATTACACTAGGTTATGGTATTTTATTTCAAAATGAAGGAAGAAAGCTTTCTATCACACACAAAAAAAAAAAGACCAGTGAGTTTTCCAAAAGATTGCTCATAACTGAGTATTTCAACATACTGCAATATGCATTAACATAATTACAACCAATAGCACTGTTGGCAAATTCCTCAACAACACTAAACCAACATAAAATTCTAGAAGTACTCACATGTCCAAGTGTTGTTCCTCGTGTCATGATTGTAGCCTTGTTGATCGGCATTGCATCCTTAGTATAATATGCAATGATAGCATGTCCAGATTCATGGTAAGCAGTGATGGTTTTGTTTTTCTCATCAATTTCTACACTTCTACGTTCAGGTCCTTAAACAGAAGAATGTTAAATAAACTTTTTTGTACAGCTGACCACTACAATCCACACCTTACATATACTCAAACAGAGCACAAAGAAGCTGAGGAACAGCATGCAAGTAAAATTAACTAACACTCATTAAGTGCAAAATGTTTACGAGTAGGATTTTAGTGTCTAAAATAGATCTCAAAATACTCTATGGACAAGTTGCTTTTAAAGGAATAGATTCGAAATGCAGTCTGAGTATCTGAGAAAATTCCATTTCTTCTCTCAAGTATGAACAGACTAGACTTTTAGTGTGCATGTCTCAGATGTTTAAGTTTTGTGTTATCATATGAAAGCTTAGTTGAACAGAAGTTCCAGGTTTCTGGTCATTTATTCTCTCCTTTCCTTTAGGAATAAGTTGGGGAAGGGTAAGAGATCAACCCTGTGTCTTCCTCTAGGCTGAAGTACAACATGCAGTGTTTTTCATAAAAAAAATGCATCAAGTCTTAAAGAATGTATTCCATACTAGATTTTACACGCTACTTTCTTGTCTCAAAAGGTTCTATTCAGAATTAGCTAACAGGAGACTTACTTTAAATAAAAAAAAAAAACACATACAACAACAAAAAAAACCCCAACCCTCAACAAACTAAAAATAAACAGCATAAAAACTTCTTTCTTTGCAACAGTTTTAATCACACAAGAAAGCCCTTGTGTACTCTAACACATATGTATGTCTTTTGTATAAAATCCTACCCATTAGAATTTTGTCCTTGGAGAATTCTAGTTCTTTCATGGTTACCATATCTTTTCCATCAACAGCTGCCTTTAAGGCAGCTTGATTTACCAGATTCTCAAGCTCTGCTCCAGAAAATCCTACTGTGCCTCGTGCAATTATTTCTGGATCAACAGCTGTGGAAAAAAACAAACAAACTTGTCATTAGGGTCCATATTGCCCCTGAAAAACCTTGTACGATGAAGAAATATCAAGAAATGATCAAATTATAAGCAAGAATCATGTTGTATTAAAAGTGATGCGTTAAACAAAACATTTTCAGCTTTAGAAGAAATGAAGCCTAATTCTTAAGACACTACGAACTGCTGGGGACTAGAAAGAAACACTGCCTCAGAAAACTGTCGTTAACACCACATACTAAACAATTTTTGTGTTCTTTACTGGCATGGTAAAGCCACAATTACTGATGGAATAAAGGACTAATACATGAGTGGGCTGATCCAATATAAAAACTGTTAAATAAAAAGATATTACTTACATGGATCATACTTTATTTTATTAAGGTACCACTTCAGGATTTCTGTACGACCTCTTACGTCAGGCTTGGGAACAGTAACTTGCATATCAAAGCGACCAGGACGTATTAAAGCACTAAGTGAAAAGACAATTTAATACATTGACTTAAAAATGCTGCAGTGAACTGTTACTAACGTATATAAGGAACAAAAATCCACCTGGTATTTCCAAAGATGTTTACATAGACTATGTCTGGTGCACAGATGCAAAGAACATTTTTTTTTTTATTTGTTTGTAGAAAGACAGATCGAAGATGGTTATTAACAACCCATATTCAAAGGTTTTTTTGCATTTGAAAATTTTGCATTGCAAACAAGGAATGCAGCTGGTCAATTTAAGTAGAAAAGCTTACAGAAATTTTAGATGCTTAGAAGCATGTTACTTATTTCTCCATATTTAATTCAACAACCTTTTAAATGTCAAAAACTGGGCAATACACATCCTTTTTAAGAGTGGAAAAACCCTAGATATAACACTGTAATATTTGAAGATTATCACAAGCAACTTTGTTGCTGTAGTTTTGGTTTTTTCTTTGATTTTTAATACATGCTCTGTAAAAATGATCCATACATTATACTCACTTATCTAACGCCTCAGGGAAGTTTGTTGCACCAATAATAACAACACCTTCATTAGGTTTAAAGCTGTATGGAAAAAAAGGGTGAGAATTTTTTTGGTTTTTGAGACAGAATTTACACCTTTTTTTGTCAATAACTACTTCTGTTTATTATTTCAGATGACCTCAACTGGACAGTCAAAAACACACTATCAAACCACAACATGTGATCCAAGAATGACCACATTTAACCCAGCAACTGGTTCAAAACATGCTCTGATCTGAGTTGAACTTCTTCCTTTAGATATATAGCCAGACTAAAAAGACTGAGAAATTATTTAAAATAATTACAGTTATTGTGCTACTACAACTCAGAAGCTTCTATATTCTTTACAGTAAGGGCACTAATACTACAGTTGACAGTGCTAGAAAGTGGTCATAAGAGTATCTTAAATTTATATCCTTAAAAGCATTTAAAAAGTTACAAAAAACATCAAAGCTGTCAAGGAAGAAAAATTCACCCAAATATTCAAAATACCAGTCAGTCAAACACCTTCTGTGCCCCCAGAATCCATGTATTTACCCATCCATTTCAGCAAGAAGCTGATTAATGGTCTGTCTTGAATAGGGATGCATTGGAGATTCAATTCTCTTCCCACCAACGGAGTCCAACTCATCAATAAATATAACGCATGGTGCATTTGCTTTTGCTTCCCCTGACAAAAGAAAAATAGCAGAAAGACACTTCAGCCACACAAAGGAACAGGCAGCATATCATGTAATTAGGATTCTACTGTTTCTATTACTCTGGGATTATGAAGTGTTCTTTTAGACATCACCAGAACTGTCTTGATTTTAACCTGAAAAAAACTAGAAATTATTTTTGAAATGAAGCAATACAAAGAGGAGCAAAGTTCTTCATCTCCACATCAGTTTATTCTTATCATGTTACAAGAAATTAATAGTAAAATAGATTAAGAAATTCGTCATTTTTATCAGCTCCGTACAAGTTAAATTTCATAGGCTTGGGTAGAGAACATTGACCTATTAAATAACAATAATAGAAAATGTGATGGGTCTAAAAGCTACTTATCTACTTATAATGAACCTGCTCATTATTTAACAGTGAAGACCTCACCCTCAAATTTACAGGTATTGAAAGCATAGAATAAAAATGCAGTAACAAACTTTAAGATCATCGGCTGGTATAGGCATACCAGATGCAACTCATCTCACCCACCTCGACATGTATATTAATATTAATGTTACAGATAAGTCAGTCATCTAAACTTCTGTAGTCAACAGAAAGAAATGCACTTTAAAGTACAACACGTTACATTTTTGCATCCCTTCCATGTGAAGCAAATCACACTTCTACAAAGGCAAACTACTTTCTACATTTCTCCCCTGACAATATTTATTTGCATACTTAAAATAGAAAGCCTTTTCTGTGAAAGTTATCAATCTAAACATTAATTTTAAAAGTTTCATTATAATGCCCTTTATTCTGGGCCTGTTGATGGGTGTGAGAAAGGAAATCTCAACTTGCTACACTCCCATGCTGTAAAACTGTAATTCAGATAAAAAAAAAAAATGCGGGAAGTTATTGAGAAGGTTGACACTATTTTTTATTTTACATATACAATATAGTTCCAATTTACAATAATTTATGTATGACAATAAATTACGATTTAAAATATTCCACTTAGTTTATAGGACATTACATTTCTAACTAAATTACTTTTCTTCTCTCTGGAAATGTTGCAACATCAGTTATAATTTTTGCCGTAATTTCATCCAACAACTAGCAAGATTCTACATTTAATTGATGCTCGCAGAATTCTGGAGATTTACCTACACAATTAAAGTGGTATTTAATAGCTGCATAAACTACTACTTTCCAATAACCAGAACTGCTCCTAGTCAAACCTTGTAAACAACACTGAATACTTAATCTCGCATGTGACAAGATTTAAAAAATATAAATATCTAGCTTACTGAACAGGCTTCGGATGCGACTAGCTCCTACACCAACAAACATCTCATCAAATTCTGATCCAGATGCATAATAAAACGGAACATCAGCTTCACCAGCTACAGCCCGTGCAAGAAGAGTTTTACCCGTACCAGGTGGTCCAACTAACAGAATACCTAAAAAGACAAACAAAACAAACAAACAACAAAAACACAAACCCCACATATAAGAATACAGGTACTGTTTCTTCCATGCATTAGAAGAAATAATTTACACTTGGCTTCAAAAAGCTGTTAACATCCCATTGCAGATATTGTTCATTATTTGCAGTCTGAAGAAGCATCCTGTAACAGACCTAGATACGCTCTGATCCATATTTAAACAGCAAAAAAGACTTGTAAGACTATCAAATAGAAACAGAAGCCTAAGTATTCTACAAAATTACTGTTGGGTTTAGCAGCTGAATCCCTAACAGTGTTTTCTTCAAACTAGTATTTTCCTAGCCATTTCTGAAAGTGGAACTTGTTTTTTTTTTTAATTACATTAAATCATTCCAAGTAACTGATTTTAAACAGTGTAGAGCACTAACAGGAAACAGACTTGTCAAGTTTACATATTTCAGATTCACTTGGTCTTCTACTATGATCAATCTTAATCATCCTTTTAAATGACAACATTTCTTTCTGAACTGTCTAAAGCAGTAGAGGTGCTGAAAGCCATATGGAAAAAACAAAGGTCTTTTAAGAATTCAGTTACATAAAAATCTCTGCCTTGTCAAGATAAAGGACTACTGTGTATTAGTTTAATAATTAAAGGCGGCACAGTAAGTTTTGTCTAACCAAAACATATTCACTTGCAACATACAGGTTCTTTTTTTGACATTTTTCCATTATCTTGGGTAAGTTTTCAAGACTAACTTATGTTATGTATCTTTCTCAGATGAGAAAAGGTACAACAGAATTAAAAATTTTGGTGACAGGAAGCTATTAACTTTAAAAAAAAAGATATCCTTATAGAGACAGTTAAAGGAGGGGAAAAAAATACAGACCTAAAAACCTCTGGGCTACATAAAGTTCTAGTCAAAAAGAATTAACAGCAATCATGCGTAACTTTATCAGTAAATTTTTTTTTAATACTATGTTATGTTCAGTGACAAAGTAGAAGAATTTTTGTAGTTGGCTACATCATCTCTAAAAGGTTTACTTGGGACTTCAAAGAAATATCAGTTCTTAACCCTTGTAAAGAAGGCTGCTAACAATGATAAACATAGGTTTGATTTTTGAAAGGCTTTTTGTCTGGAATCTACAGTCCACTGCTTTACACTGTCATAGCTTATTACCCCTAATATTATTACTGAATTTCTACCAAATGTAAGCTGTATCCTGCCATCTTTGCTTCTTTTATCCAAGTATCTCAGATACATCAAATTCTCTGAGGGGGAAGGCAGTATTGATCAATTTTTACATATGGGGAACAATGTAAGACAGGAAGCATGCAACATAACTACCCTAACCTCCACTCCCCAACCCCCCAAGTACCTCAGTTAAAGGTATCCTTTAATAAAGACGCTTTCACAACTCGCCTTTGAAGATTCATGTTCATGAAATATTTTAAATAAACAAGGAAATCCACTACCTATGCCTAATGTTATTTCATTATTTTTCACAAACAAAAGATAACAGTAGTATTTAGGCCCATTTTGGTAATATACTTTTTTGATTCCCTAACTAAAGGAAAAAATATTCAGAAGCTAGGCTGTAAGTTAGTGATTTAGTATAGAACAAAGCTACAAAGACAGCCATGGCTACATATGATTTTCACTTCTGGCTGAGCAATGATTCTTACCTTTTGGAAGTTTACCCCCTAGTACCGTAAATTTATGTGGGTTTTTCAGAAATTCCACAACTTCTTGCAATTCCTGTTTAGCTTCTTCAACCTACACATTAAAAACATGCCACAAAATGTAACTAAGCATCTATAAAATACTGCATCTTTTTTGCAGGTGGGTTTTGTATTATGGACTAAGTCTCTAATCGTGTATTGATCAAAAATACACAACACAAAAGCGGTAAAAACGTACCAAAGAATTTGTGTAGATACCAAGAGTCCATGAGTTTAATTCAACCTATTTCCTAGAATTGTTCATCAGTTCAATCAGTGAACACTAAAGTTAGTACTGAAGGAATAACCAAGCAGTTCAAGATGAGATCTGACCAACAACATAAATACAGAATCAAAAATTCTACATCAAGATATTAGTCCAATTAGTTAAAAAGATAATAATTCTATCTATTTGTCCAAGGGGAAAGAGATGGGGATGTTCTCATTCTGCCACTGATAGCCAAAGAACAGTTGAATATAAACAACAAATAGAACAAGAAATAGAACAAAAGTGGTTAAAACCCTCCTTGATCTTGGAGTGGTCAATATCTGGCTTCAGTTTATACAAAGAAATTTCTTGGATAGAGTAAGACATTCTGCAGGCTTGCATTCATTAGAACTCACACACACTTTACTTTTGAACTTACCCCTTTTACATGTTCAAAGGTGACATTTTTCAACTGGATTGGATCAACTGCTGCATCAAAGATACTTGATGTTCGAAAGCGTACTAATAGCAAACAGCAGATGATGAACAACAAGTTTACACATTAAGTCATTTCATTCCAAGACTGAACTCTGCACTTGAATGCACACCATTAAGCTACTAACTTCACACCTGCCCTTTTAAAAAGGTATGTTTCCATTTACAAGTGTCCAGCAAGAATACAATTAAAAAAACACTTTAAAATACATTCAGTTAATTCAGTGATATAAATGCTTTTTAGTCTTTTGTAGTACAGAAAGCCCTGCATCCAAAAAGCATGTACACAAAGCCGTAAGTTCTCCCTCAGTGTTTCTGCACACACCCTAACTTTCTTGAGACCCAGGTGATAACTTAGCATGAAGCTGAAATTCTCCATTTGCATTAGCTCAGCCTTTGACCATTCTCCTGTTTCCAACAGATTTCTCACGACAACAATTTTAGCCATGCAAGTACCTAGTTGCTATAAACTCAGCAGCAATTACAAATAAAAATAAAACCATTTTGCCTACTGCTGACCTAGATAACGCATCATCTAAATTAAAAGACAAATGCATAACTGGTGAACAGTCTGACTTCTCTGCTTAGTTCCATGTAATTGTTTCACCAAAACAATTACAATAATTATACTAATAGACAACTTTGTCTCCGTAAACATTTTATCACACTACTGTCTCAAAGTCTGTAGCCAAAAGCAGTAAATAACTCTTTCATTAGTATATTGAAATGTTATTCTAAAACAATCATAATGTCAAAACACATTTAATTTGTGCTAAGCCTGCTGGAAGAAACAGCACAAGTGAAACAGTGACGGAGAAAAAAAGTTAACTAACCAGCATCAGAAAAGGAACCTTTCCCAGGTAAAAATGATGAATATATAGCAAGATAAAAACAAAGAACAAAGAGAAAGAAAGAAAGCAAACGTGATCTTCTTAAGGAATCTGTAAAAGAAAACAAAAAGAGTTTTAATATGGGCTGAAATAAACCACTTTCTGAATGCAAAGACAAGATACATGAACTAATGCAACTTACCAAGTGTTTTTTGCAGGAATACCTGTGCTTTCAAAAAGCCTTCTGCAAAACCAGTTTTAAAAGCATCCTGGTGTGCCTCTGGGATGTTTTTTGTTTTCATTAGTGTATCTAAGTTTTCAACATCAATTCTTCGCTTTCTCAGGATAAAGCCCTAAAATATTTACCACAGCAGTGTTAGTATACACTAAGTTCTGATAGACAGTTAACTTACTACCTGGCTAGCATGGGTGAGAGCGAAAAAAAAATTTAAAAAGCATGTAATTCAGGTGCTATGGGGTTAGTTAGACAACACAGGGCAGTAGCTTGAGTGTCGATCACAATGGCTCCAAGAAGGGGCACCCTGATTTTTGCTGAACAGGTCAGGTTCAGAGCCCTCCTGGACCCCAGTTCCAAACAGAAAATGCAGCCTAAAGCAGATTTGCTCACAGGCACACTGGATTCAGTGGGAGTTACTAGCTTAAGCTTTCTGTTTCATGACATCAACCCGAATTATTTCCAAATGTGAAATATCTCTGTAAGTATAGTTTTGATGGAGCTTCATCAAATACATCTCATATGTGTATCTTAAACCTACCAAGTTTAAGAGCAGCACTGCATGGAACTAACTCTGGTTTGTCTTCATCCACAGTATACCTAGTCCACAGATTAAATAAACCACATAGGCCCAAAAGAAGGGAAGAGTTCAAAGCTAACTTACACACACAATAAGGTCAAATGCTTTAATTAGCGTGACTTCTGTACAGCCAATTAGAAACAAAGAGTAACTAGGTTAACTTGTTTTTGTTAAATGCTTTGCTACCCCAAGCCTGGACAGTTATCTGCTGAATGAAGAGTATGCAAGTGAGTTTGTAACCCATAAAAATACCAAGTATGAAAATTTTGTATCTTAAAAATATACTAACCACAAATAAATCCATTATTAAAACACCAATCACATTCTGAACTGCTTAAAAAAAAAATACATTCTTTTATGTTGAGCTAGCTGTATTTCTGTTTAAACGAATACTTCATTTGAGTCCAAGCTATTTTCAACAAAGCCACAAAAGCAGAATATGAAGGATTTTATTTCTAGAGTTTAAAATTATTTTTATACTCTGAAACTACTCTTCTAAAGATTATTTGAATTTTTTATATTGATGATATATGAAACAAATTTGTGTATTAGGAAGAAAAACAGTATGCTGTCGTTAGCTCAAGTTTTAGAATTAAGAAAATTTTTTTTCCACTAGTAAAATGAAACATCCCTGGTAAATTTTGAAGGTTCATTCAAGAGAAAGAGGTGGTCTGTATAATCCCAAAACAACTTCATAATGTTACTCGTATTTACCTTCAAAAGTGAAGAAAGTGAATTTTTTGTTTCTGTGAATTGTTCCGATGTTGACTGCAGACGTCTTGCTCTTGATCTCAAAGTTTTAAAGTTCCGTGATTGTATGTAAACTTAAAGTAGTAATAATAAATAAAAGTTAAAAACTATCCATTAATACCACTACAAAACAAAGGCCTAAGAAATTTCAGAAACTATCATATGAAAAAGATTATTGTGACTGAACTGAATATAAACTTAACAACACATCCACAGTAGAAAGCTAAGAGAATTGAAAACAGCAATATGTTTAAGACGCCTGAAAAATGTAAAAAACAGAAAACTGTGTGAAAGACACTTCTGGATCTAACAGTAATAAACTGGATAAATAAACCAGTAAATTTTAGTACTGTAAATGGGTAGTTATGTGATCGTGAACCATGTTTGTAATCTTAACTTGCAAGCAAACTGCTTACTGTTTCACAATACTTTCTTTCCATACAATTTTTTGTTAAAATAATCAGGAGTTCACATTGTGAATTACAGATAATTGGCCAACCCTATCACTGTCTCAGGGAACAGAAGAGGCACACTGCTGAATTAAATCCAGGCAGGCTAACAAATACAAAATATTCTGAAGCTAATCCCGAAGGATGGGAATGAAGGTTCCTGCTCTAAGAGAATCTTTGTCTAAAAGCTCAGCCGATAAGGTGCCCTGAAGAGATCTGGAATGGCTTAGGTGTGCTGTTAACTTAGAACTGACAACTGACTTATTGCAGCCTTTCAGTACTTAAAGAGGACTTATAAGAAAGACGGTGACAGACTTTTTAAGCAGGGCCTGTTGCAATAGGACAAGGGGTAATGGTTTTAAACTAAAAGAGGGCAGATTTAGACTGGCTCTAAGGAAGAAATTTTGCACCATGACGGTAGTGAAACACTGGCACAAGTTGCCCAGAGAGGTGGTAGACGCCACATCCCCGGAAACGAATATTCAAGTTCAGGTTGGTTGGGGCTCTGAGCAACCTACTCTAGTTGAAGATGTCCCTGCTCATTGCAGAGGGTTGGACTAGATGATCTCTAAAGGTCCCTTCCAACCCAAGGATTCTGTGAGAAGAAATTACACCATTTAAACTCAGTGAACTTATAGCACTGTATGTCACAGTGAGCTTGTGGCACTATATGTCATCTTCTATCACATCAGAAACCTTGCAATGGAGATTTTATCACATAAATCACAGAAGTCAAGAATATGTATCTTCTTTCACTACTATGTTTTAAAATAATCACCAATACCAGTCAATTATATAGTTTTAACAAAGCCTTATGTTATCATAGAATAGTACCATATAAAAGGAACTTCTGGACGTGATCTAGTCAAAGCCCTGATCAAAAAAGGTCTAACTTCAACATCAGATCGGGTAGCTCTAGACCTTGTCCAGCTCACTTTTGAAAATCTCCAAGGATTAAGATAACACAGCCTCTCCAGACCATCTGTTTCAGAACTTAGCCATTGCCATTGTGAAAATCTTCCAACAGGAATTTCCTTTGCTTTTACTTGTAATTTTCTATTCTTTGAGGTGTACAAGGCAAGGGTAACTAATATGGCTCCAATAGAAATTAGATCACTCCTTGCTTTCTCTTCTGCTAACTTTAAAACCAGCTCATCTACCATCTTTTAAGAATACAATCCACAAATACTGACATCTTTAACAAGATTCTGTAGTCACATCATGTTTACTAACTTAATTCTGGAAACATACTACTCAAATGCAAAAATAACTTTGTGATTTAAAGTGTTAGTATCAATATAAAGTTCCGCCTGGAAGTGTACCAGCATTTCCTGAGTGACGCCTCTAAGATGAAAGTAAAAATATTTTCCCATAATAAAAAGATATAATAGCAATTTAAAACAGTGTAGTTTATTGTTTTATACCTGGCCAACATCGAACATCTGAACAGAAATTTTGGAGGGGATTAGGATGCTGTCTGTACAAACAAGATGAGCGTAAAGCACTGAAGACATCCACGAAACCTGTAAAAAGATAGAGCAAAGTGTAAATACACCCTATATTAAATGGCAACTAAACACTACACTTCGCATAGGTCAGTTTTTCTTTCTTAAATATTAATTCTATTTTACTATGGTCCTTCAGGCATCTGTAATTAAACAAATTAATCATTACCAGTACATAGGTTAATGCAAAGAAGTTAACTATCTATGTCAGGCCCTTTGCAACATACCAGAATTTTTTTCTAAATAGAACTTCCAAAAAAATACTGGTACCGAGAATCTTGAATCTGAAGCTGAATCTAGGAGGGAAAACTCTGCACATCTGTACAGAGCTGAATGGGTTCCTCTCCAGTCTAGATATCTTCAAGGACTTCCATGAAGCTGAAGGACCAGCATTCAACCAATGATTCCATTTCAAAGGCTTTAAAGGACACATTGCCCAAAGGCATTTTAAAACAAGATTATGTATGAAGTATGGAAACATTTTGAACTATACTAAGTCTACTTAATTATAGTGTCTTCATGCAATACAGAAACAGGAAGAAATAAAAAAGCATCACACTGAAAAAGTTATTAGCAGATATTATTTCAAGCACCCTATAGACTACAAGACAAGAGGACTGCCATTTATCTCTTGTTCAGCTCAAAGAACTCATCCTCATTTAGCAGGTAAGAATTATTTAAGAAACATCAGAGACCTGATGGGTCTAGAGACCATCTCTACACCCATCTACACCTGATGTGTAGAGAGGAACAAACTGAGGCTCTCTTCATATGCTCCCTTGTATAGTAATTCAGAAGCTAATGTAATCACAAAAAGGGTGGGGGGTTTTGTTTATTTTACATATTCTGAGAAAGTTATCACATCAGTTCAAGACTCATGGAGAAAAAGAGATTAGCTATTAATTCTGTATATTCCACAGTCTTCTACAATACTGCATATTGGCTAATCTAATACAACATAATTATGAGCACATTAGTTTAAAAAAACAGAAATACTCTCCTCACTTTATGCACAAGTATATGCACAACAGACGTATTAATACTAGGAGTCATCCATAGCATGCACTGTCACCTACACCAAAAGCACATTCTTCAAGATTTAGCACCTCACTTGCCTGTGGCAGTTTTCCACCCATAACCTTGCCTTTTCAGCTGTGAATGAAACCACCAGTCTGGTGAGCTTGCATGTTAAATCTATGAAAGCTTTGAAGCATTTGCAACTTTTTTCTTCACATTCAGGAAACTGCCTCTGGGCTAATTTTTTTATATATCACATCACAATGCAGTTTAATACCTTTCCTCTAATAGTAGCCCTGAGAGATTATTCTTACGCTCTTTCTCCCAGCTACAATACTATATAGGCAGTATCTCAAATGTCAGCTATACGCTTCTTTTTCTAATACATTCTTAAGCATCTACAATGGCCATGCTTCCTGTATTTAAGGCTAATCCCAACAAAACATCTTTAACTGTAAGGAACCACTCTTGTTTTATTTCAGCAATGAAACACTCTACATGGTCAGTCAACAGTTTGGCACCCTGAATTCCTTTCTAATTGATGTCCTTGCGTAATGTTGCTTCAAGCAAAAAACGAATTGCTTAATGTAAACTGGAGATGTTCATGACTGTTACATTAGTAGATTGGCAAAATCTAATTTCTTCTATTTCGTGAAAGAAACTGCTGTAAAAATTCATAGCTCAGGCTCATCACTAAGAGACAATGCACTTGTACTACAGCTGAGTTCAGACAAGTTTAGTAGCAGTCAACTTCAAATCTTAATTTGAAGGAACAATTAAAAAAATCTGAGTTGAGTTTTCTAAAATTCCCAAGACTCAAAAGCACCACTCTAAAGACAACCTGTACACAATCAAAAAACACATTAATAATTTTTATTAAAGATTTTTTAAACTATGAGTTTTCTACAGCACAAGAGAGTAAACTAAAGAATAACTGTGTTCACCTTTATAATCTAATTCTTATCAATTCTCATTAGCACTTTCCTCTGAAACATACCATGCTTATTTTCAAAGAAGGACTCAGCAGAGATGTATGATGTATGCCACTGTGAAGAGACTTTGTTTTCTGCACAGTAGCCAGGAAGCAACCTGTTCACCAATTCTTTGAACTGGCTAGCTTTCAAATCAGACAATCCCAGATCTCTTAAATTACGTACAGACTGCAAAATAGAAACAAATGTTCAAAATTTACTTAAGATTACCTTAGGGGAAAAAAAAATTAAGAATAACTGAGTTAACTTTTTGGCTCAATACAGCATCTATACTTCACAGTTCAGACTGAAATAAAAAAATTCTAAATGAAGATAAATGAATAAAAGCACAAGATTAAAGAAAGAATAATTGCTACTGTTAGTGCAGAGTAACTTTTCCATTTGCACACACTGATATTTTCATTATCACAGCGCATTTATGACAAGTGTTCCCAATTCAGTCTTTTTAACACCTTCCTGCTCCCTGATTGAAGCCGGCACAGAAAAAAAAATGTGGTTTTCCAACTCCTTCTACTCTATGATAGAGAAAATGGAGAGCGTGAGGGGGAAAGATGTATAGCAATATCCATCCATTGTATTTCAGCTAAGTAAGCAAACAGCGAAATCCCCCCAACGTCCTTTTTTTTGCTAGCGTTTTTGCAGATAGCAGAGATTTAGCAGCAGCACAAAGACTGGATATTTCGAAACAATAGCCAGAGTTAAAATCTTAAAAAGCCACGAGCTGGGTAGACACACAATGAAAGGCAAAAGCTTCCATAGAGAAAAGGGTAAGTACTAGGATCTGAGTTTTCCTACAAAGCAAAGAAACTATGAGGAAAAAAAAAGCCAAGGAGGTAAGGCACATACACTTGAGTTACTAAGGAAGTAACCTCGATCAAAATAATTTTAATCTTGCATTTTACAAATAGGAAAAAAACTTTTTATGGGAGAGTATGTTTTAAAAATACATATTGGTATGGACCCTTTAAAATATTTTTAGAATCCTTATTGCCGAAGCACCAGCTTACTGAAGTCCTGTCAAAAAGTTACGTTCTATGAGTTAACATTCTGTTTCATTTAGTCACATCACATTATTTTATAAAACAAGTCAAACATTAAATTCACTTAAACTGATATTATTCAGATTTAATTCAGTTAAAAGCAAACCATCATTTTCCAAAGGCTTTTAGTACCTCACTCTTCTGAGGATCATGCTCTGGGGAAGTGTCTCTCTGGACAGGCTGTATGGACGCTGTGCTGGCAGTAGTAGTCGAGCTTTTGGGTGAATGAAAAGCATTGATAAGGTGACTCAGAGGAACAGTAGCCTGGGAGGGGGTGAAAAAAAAAAAATCAGATAACTATTTAAACTTGTTTAAACTATTTAAACATATCTCCATTCCAATGCCTATCTTGGACACTGCCTTTTAACAGAGGACTTCATAATAAACCACAGGAACTTAGCTTCAGCACCACAGTGTTTAAGTATGCACAACAGGTTAGAAGCTCACAAAGCTTGGAAGCAAGTCGAGGAGGGAAGAGACTACTGATTTTCAAACGTAAGCATGGTTTAAAGAAAATAATCACTAGATTTGCAAATATAGCAGTAACAGATCATTAACACTTAGAAGATGCAAAGACTGCCCTCAATTTGTACTTAAAACAATGTTTATTTACAAAAAATAATAAACAACTTATAGATTGTTCTCAGCTGAAACAGCAGGGAAACAAAATTGCTACTACACTTAATACTTCCTTCACAATATTTTTTCAGGTATTTTTCTTTTTTTTTTTTTTAATCTATCACTTGTTTGCTGTGTTAGATATGTGCTGTTGCAAGCAGCAACAATCCTTATTGTCCTGTCATCTATCTTCTGCCAAATATTAGAAACTTAACAATCACTTCATGCAAATAAATTAGAAAACTTTGTGAAACAATGTTTTTCCCTGGTAGTCACCAAGCTCCTATCACAGTCTATTAACAACATTCCAAACAGATGTTTTTTGCCCCCATAGCAATAGAAGACACAAAAAAGGCAACACAATCAATAGGAGGAGAAGAGAGGAAAACCAATAGCAAACAACTTCTACACTGAAAAGTCTGCAAGTTGACACCATGTGTTGAAATGTTTTAAACCTGTTTATAGTTACTCTCATTCAGGAACTTTCTCTTGTATTTCTCAAGTGTTCACTTGAAATAGTTCTGAGCCTGTCCTGTCTTGGTGTCCACCATGACAAAACTAAGATCCCCATTGTGGTAAGACTTCACAACACAGCCACAGAAGAGAAGTAATGTTCTTAAAACAACATAAACAGAAAAAGAATGGTAAGTGAGGTACTTTATCTACTTAATGGTAGGCCTTAATTTCAGACTTTAATATAAAATATTGTAACATAGTAAATTCTAGATCACCCCTGGACAGACATACAAGCAACAGATCTCGTCAAGCTGGTTCCCCTTGAAGCAACTTGAACAGAAAGCTCAGTGGATGCTTTTGATAAATCCTCACGATTCAATGCTATTCAACAGCTTACTAATTCAGAGATCACCGTTCTTAAGTACTACTGACTCCTGTATTATTTTCCAAACAACACCTATTTTCATCTATAAAGTAATACTTTTATAACTTGAAGCATCTGTATTTTTCATGCATTATACAAATTATTCCCAAAAGTTTCCTTCAAGTTTTCTTCCTTGGGATTCCACTTTAGCAATATATCTAAGTATCAAACTAACCTATACAACGCATAGACACGTCATAGTCAATTCTGCAGTTCAGCAGCACTTAGCTCAGTGACAACACCTCATGAATCAGTATAGAAGCCCAGGTGCACCATGTATCAGGGCTCCTCCTCTGGCACACGACTGTATCTGTTGTGACTATACAGCACAAACAATTCCAATGCTTCTAAAACACCTCAGTCTCATTATCCACCACTAGGGAACAGAGTTGGGGTGCAACTCTTGCTTCTGGAATGACACCTGATTGAAATACCTGATTATGAATGTCCTTGCGATAGAAGTTCCATCTCTGTGTTGACTAGACAGAAGATCAAGAGAGACAATGCTCTGAGACATAAAAACTGCCTTGGAATTAATTGTCCAGAGTTATAATTAAACCCTGGGAGTTTGTGGTAAAACCATAAAGCCTCCAGAGGTCAAAGCCAGCACCCCAACCACTAACCAAGCTCTCCTCCTGTGTTTGCCACTATGAAAAAGTGGAATGACAAATTCCTAAAAATACCATCACAAGTTCTGTTATTTCTGTAATCTAACAAAAGTAATTAACACATTCTCCATAGCGGAAAAGAACAATCAAATCCCATTGTGAAGTAAGACTATCCCATACTAATCCCCTTAACATAAAACATAAAAACCACTGGTTCAGATCAAAGTCCATAAAACCCACTAGTCCCATCCAACTACTAAAAGATGCTATCCCCGATTGCATCCAGACTGTTCTACATAACAAATAATTGAGGGACTTTTCCTCCACTAACTCTTATAATTTCTAAGTAATTTCTTTTTGGTTTCCACAACAACCCGTGACAATTAACAGCACAGTTTAGCTGTAGTACCACCACATACACATCCCCTTGCTTCTACTATAAAAACATACTAAAAAGCACCATCTTCAAGTTACTTCCTCATTCCAGCTTTTGCTGTACCTTCCTCTTACCTGCATTTCCGTACTTTCTTCCTAGGTAAGAATCTTAGGCCGCTGTAGCCCCCACCCACCTCTCTTTCCCGCTGCGACACCGGGGGCCGCTGAGCCGACAGCCCCCCGCGATGCGTCCCCCCGCACCTCGCTCGCTCACGCCCGGCCGACGCTCTCCAAAGCCCCAAAAACGTGGCAGCCTAGATCTCGGCTCTTCCAGACAAGGCCCGCAACCCCCGGGCCTCCCGCGGGCCTCCGCCTCCCCCCGCTGCCTCTACCCGGTCACGAAATGAGCCCCCGACCGCAGCCCGGTTGAGAGGGGGCCCCAAGCGCAGCAAACGGCACACCGGAAATGGCCGGGGCGTCGCCGGTGCGCTCCAAGAGCCCCCTCACCTGAGGCTGCACGGTTGAGAAGGAAAACATCCTCCCGACGGGGACG